TTATTATTATTATTATTATTATTATTATTATTATTATTATTATTATTTTACTAAAAGCCCTTAAAGAGTAAAAATAAAATTTAGAAAATTATTTAAATTTGATATTTTTATTTGAAGCTGAGATAACTAAAAGATTATCTTGTTATAAAAAATAATAAAACGCTGTTAAATATAAATAAATAGTTCCCCCTGAGGAACACGACGGTCGTAAAGTTGAAGGACGATCAAAGAGTTCAATCACCTCGGAGCTCCGGCTCGTTTCGCTCAAGAGCCTAAAAAATAAACGCCGAGCGTTGGAGTTTCAGCTGCGCCTGCGTTGGGGTGGGGGTGGGGGGTGTTAATGGCCGCCTTTGTTCTCTTTGCTGCTGTAAATAATTTTTACTGTAACGGAGCGATTCGAGTGAAGCAGAGAAGAGAAGCAGCTTCGGCTCGAAGGTAAAAACAGATTTTTTTTCCGCTCTGTCCGGCGGGGGATGTTTTCAGCAGCTGTCACCATCTGCCTTCTCCCCACCCGCACATCCACCTACCACGCTGCGACCAGCTCCAACCACAAAACGCACGCATGTAAGTGGCACCCTGGGCGCCGGGAGGAGGCGGGGCTTTGCTGCTATTGTCACGCCTTAATTGAGGCCAAGCATGACCAGCGTGTGGACGTGTTCATACCACGCGCCCATTCAGCCGCGCTCGGAGGGAACGCTCGGCCGTGACCTCCTCGGCGGCGTGCGTGCGTGTCGGAGGCTTTCTGAGGGGGGGGACGCAGTTAGCTCCGCTCGCCGTCTCCTTTCACATGGAAATAAACGAGGAGGCCCCTCTGCTCTGGTTTCCTGCTGCAGCTACAGACCTAAATTTAAAAAATGACAAATTACAAAACTAAATGAATCTGCAGCCGTTTGTTTTGACCTTCACGTGGAAGCTGACGTTGTCAAATGTCGCCGTCGTGATGCAGTCATGGCAAAACGAACGTCCACCTCTTCAGTTCGTTGTGATCCGCCGTTTCCAAAGTTCTTCACGGATTTAAATCAAAGTTAAAGTGAAAACGTTGGAGCTGTGAGTGGACAAACTTCTTCTGGAGCGGTGCAGGAATCTGAGGGTCTTGTTCCTGCGTGATAGTGACAGGTCAGGGCCTCGTCCTCAGTAATGAGGGTGTTGTTTTGGTCCATTGTGGTGAATAAAGAGCTGAGTGTAAAGAGAAAGCTCTGTCTGTTCCAACTCTCAGCTGTGGTCATGAGGTTTGGATCAGGACTGAAATGACCAGATCCTGGGTCTGCAGCTGAAATGAGCTTCCTTTGTAGTGTGGGGGTTGGAGGGGGGGCTCAGGCTTAGAGAGGGTGAGGCGCTCCATCATCCGGGGGAGCTCTGAGTCGAGGTGCTGCTCCTCTGCATCTGAAGGAGTCACCTGAGGAGGTTCATCTGATCAGGACACCTCCATTTAGAGGTTTCCAGGCGCGTCCCACAAGACCACCTTGTTGTAGACCCAGAACTCTCTGGAGGCATTATAGATCCTCTCTGGTCTGGGAACACCTCCAGGTGCCCCAGGAGGAGCTGGAGAGGGTCTCTGGGGTAAGGATGGTTTGGGTTTCTATCCTGGACCTGTTGCCTCCGGGACCCGACATGCTGCTGATGAAACTGATCAGCAGCAGTTTTTGCTGCTCTGGAGCCTACAAGTGTGTTAACACAACGCCAAGGTGGAAAGACATCAGCATTGACCTCAGAGAAGCAGCTGTTTCTGCCCGTCAATCGGAGAAGGGTCAAAGGTCATTTGGAGTCCATTATTCTACAGAGATTATCCATGAGTGGAAAACATTTCAGACAGCTCACTGTCTTCACAGCAGGCTCACCCTGAAGGTCAGACCGTGCAGTGAGCTCCATCTCCTTACATACCTGTGACAAAGTAGTGGCTTATAGACAAGAAATTACAGTAATCCGTTTCATATCAGCCCGGTTGGTTTTGTTTTTATGTAAAGCTGTTTTTCCGTCCTACGTTGACTTTGTGCCTTTTGCTTCTTCACCGTTTGGTTTGAGTCCAGGATTCAGAGCAGAAACCGGACCGGTTCAGATCCAAGTCTTTCAGTTCTTTTAGGTTTTTGACTCATTTTGAGACTGGATTAGTTCAGAACGATCGGCTGTGTCGACGTGAGGTCCCTGTCGTGATGTTGCATCCTTCTGAGTTCAAACGTTTCTGCTGCAGTCTGACACAACGACGCTGTTCTTCCTGCGCTGACGGTTCTTTTAAAGTGATAGTTCAGATCTTTTGGAGTGAGGTTCTTTCTGTAGAAACGTTATGAACTACAGGAGAAATGACTCAAACAGTTGAACTCTGAGAGCTGAGGTTACTGAGTTAATGAGGAAAACACCAGTGAAAGTAATGTATCACAGGCTAAAGGCTAAAAGTAGCAAAATCTAGCTAAAGAAGAGTGTAGCAACAAGCTAGTTAAAATCAAAAACTAGCAGAAGTTCAGCTAAATGATAAAAGTTCAGAAAGATGACTTAATACTCAAAGTAGCAAAGGCTAACTAAAACAAAGTGCCAAAAGATTAGCTATAAATTAAGTGTAGCAAAAATGCTAGCTAAAGTAGCAAAAGGTTCGCTAAAAGTAAAAAGTATCAAAAGGCCTTAAAGGAATAAAAGGACAACTAAAAGTTTGAGTAGCCAAATGGTAGATACAAGTTGCAAAATGTCAGCTAAAAACAAAAGTTCAGCTTAAAGCTATAGTATCAAACGGCTAGCTAATGGCTAGCTAAAAAAATGTTGCTAAAAGCTAACGGTAGAACAAGAGCAGAAAGTGACAAATGTAGCAAAAGGTTTGCTAAAAGTAAAGTATCAAATGGCTTTGAAGCTTAAAGGAATAAAAAGATAACTCCAAGCTAAAGTTAAGGAAAATGTCAAATGTAGCAAAAGTATACCTGAAAGGATGTTGACAATAGATTATCTACGAAGTATCAGAAGTCCAGCTAAAAATCTCAAGTTAAAGGAATCTCAAAATCTTTCTGTAGCAAAATGTTACCTGCAAACTGCAAAAATGTGAGCTAAAAGCTAAACGTAGCCATGGCTAGCCAAAAGCTAAAACTAACAGAAATCTATAGAAAAGCTAAAACATAAAACAGAATGAGGCAAATTTCAACAAGCACAGATTTATTTAACTGCAGAATCTTAATATTTATATTATTTAATGTAAATTAAGAACCAAAACGTATAAAAATTACAAACTAAAAGTCACAGCGCCCATCTTGGAATGAGCCGAATGTTTTCTTACAAGAACAGCTAAAAGAACACAGAAGATGTTAAGATGGTTAAAATTATGC